TCAAGGAGATTCCCTGTCCACACAGTGCCCATGTACATAGCTCTGGTCTGTCCTTCAGCTGTAGCTATTCCTCTAACTGACAGCACTGCTAAACAGGACTACAAGTGTGCGTATAGAGAGGCGCCCATCCTGGGAGTGTTGGCGTATATCTCTTTTTTTTAATTTTGTTAGTAGTCAATTTTCATTTATTTTGACAATTAAAGCTTTTAACTCCACAGCACTTGGTGTTCTCTCTTTTTTTGTTGGTATGTCATTTGTAAAGTTTCCTTAATCTTGTGAGAAGCGGCATCAAATGCAGCAAGAGGTTTTTAGTTACTCTTGATTCCATTGCCTGGACTAAGGAGTTGTGGTTTAATCCACCTATGGACATGACTTTTTTTTTTTTTTGGACTTGATTTTTGTACGCATTCCACAGGTTTGTTCATTTCCATTGCTTACAGTGGGTATTTAAAATCACGTTTTGTTAATTTGCAACCTGAAATGTTGGTGTTATATCTGGAATACAGCTGGATAAAACAAACATGTCAGAAGACATTTTTAAAAATTCAGAAACAATAACTGAGTTAGAAAAAGGATCACCCCCTTGCGTCAGTATTTTAATGAACTACTTTTTTGATTTAATTACAGCCTTAAGTCTGTTGGGATATGTCTGTACTAACCTTGCACATCTAGACTTTGCAATATTTGCCCACTCTTCTTCTTATCAGAACTGCTCAAGTTCAGTTAAATTGTGTGTGTGTGTGTGTGTGTGTGTGTGTGTGTGTGTGTGTGTGTGTTATGTATGTATAAATTTATATTTAATTTTTTGTTTTGTTTTTTGGGGGTGGTTTTTCTTCAAAATTGTCAGTTTTTTTGTTTATAGCGCAAAAAATAAACGAATAGGTGATTAAATTCCACCAAATGAAAGCGCTATTTTGTGGGGGGGATATTTCACTTATGTACAGTGTTAGCGTTGCATGACCGCGCAATTGTCCATTAACCGCTTAAGGACCGCCCTATAGTACATTTACTACTACAGGTCGGCCCCTGTGTGCTGGATTATATTTATATTCGATATATATATATATATATATATATATATATATATATATATATATTATGTGTACACACTTTTATATTTGATCCCCTGCTGATTTTGAATGTTTGCCCACTCACAAAGAAATGATCAGTCTAACAATCGAATGGTAGGTGTATTGTAACAGGCAGAATAGCAACAAAAATTCAAAGGAAATGTCTAAAAAATTATGCACTGATTTGCATGGTAATGAGGAAATTCCACAGATTTGCAGTGGGGTTGAAGTCAGGGCAGTGACTAGGCCATGCAAGGACATTCACTTTTTTTTTGTATTCTTCAACCACTGTGTGCTCGTTTTTGCTGTGTGCTTTGGGTCATTCTCATGTTGGAAGGTAAATTTTCTTCCCATTGACAACTTACTGGCAGAGGGCAGCAGTTTTTCCTCATAAATTTGACGTATTTTGCCCCATTCATTTCTCCTTCTATCCTGACAAGTGCTCCAGTACCTGTTGCAGAGAAACACCCCCATAACAGGATATTACCATCTCCATGCTTTACTGCAGGAATGGGGTTATTTGGATGATGAGCTGTATTGGATTTTGTAAGTAAAAAAATTTCTGCATTTTATTTTGTTTCTGGAGCCTCTAAAGATTGCACCAGCAATTAGCAGATCTCTGGTGCCATGCAGGTCTCCCTCTGACCTGTCACTATATCTGCTTGCTTGTACATCCTATACAGGCAAGCATACTTACTGACAGGAAGGCTCAATGAGCTACCACGGTGCTGTGGAGCATAGGCTTTTGGAACTTGTAGTTTTCCCATTCACAGAATATTGTGAATGAGTGTGTGGCTGGGCAGGTGAAGCCCCACATAGCCGTGTTTTTTAAATTGTGACAACAAGCCAGGAGGAGAAGGTCCCCTGCTAGCTGTCACAATGGGGATGGGGGGGGGGGGGGGGTGAGTTGCAGGGGATTTGTTACATGTTACACCCTGAGTGTGTGTTTAACATGTTACAAAAGGTGTGCTTATCCTTTAAAGATGGCAGAGAATCATGTATTCCCCAGTGGTGGTTCATGTACATTTTGATATCTACCTGGGCGGAAAGGGCTTGAGCCACTCTGATACCGATTTGTAAAGTAGATACATGGTGGTGTAATTCTCCCATGGGTAAATGGAGGTTTAAGAAAAAACACTGTAAAGACGTGTGTGTGTGTTGGTTTATTTTGCTGTGATTTACCTATGTGCGAGGGCTGGGACAGGAAGCTTTTAAATGTTTCTAATGTAGGATTAACCTGGTAATTTTTTTTTTTTTTTTTCTTAGTCTGGTTAAAATTGTGTAACTTTTGGAGTTCACAGGACATTTCTTGCTTGGCACAGATAGATCCCTGAATGGCACTCGTGCTGGGCAAGCGACCTCGTGTGTTAATTAAGCCTCAGGGCAGCCTTTCAACGCAGGACCTGGAAGCTAGTAGAGGTCAACATGGTAGTGGTGCCTACTACATGGCACATACATAATTAATGGAGAAGTACAGCCCAAGCTCGTTGGGCTGTACTTCTCGCGTGTATCACAGGAGTGCATGCCTAAACATCAGCTTTACCATACCATATATAACTTAACAGCACTGTTCTTAACTTATATTGCATAAAACGGACTACTATCCATGTGCTCAATAGTCCAATAAAGTGCCAATAAATAAAGTAAAAAAAAAAGTGCCACTGTGCAGTAGATGTTTTTATGGGTGCATGGATTGTTTTGTGCTCCCTTCCTTTGTTTCCCCACTCAGACTGATGTGGACTCTTAATATCCAAGAGTCAAACGCGCTTGAATCACTAGCTTTACATGTGGGTTCTCCATTTCGCAAACACCTTGCCAAAGAGGATCATAAGACATAGCGTAATCCCGTATTTTTTATTGTGTACTTAAACAAGTTACTTTGGGAGTGTAACTTTTGTTTTTTAACAGGCATGTATTGCCGAGCCGGAAGTGCCACTGCAGAGTGCATTCCACTGGCCGGACGTGATATCATTGGAAGTCCCCGCCTTTATATAAAGTAAAAAATACAGGATTATGCTATGTATGTTTTACGATCCTCTTTACATACCATCTTCTGGAAATCGGACGAGGTGTTGGTGACATGATGGAGAGGAGAACCCACATGTAAAAGCTGGCGATTCAAGCGTTTTTGACTCTTGGGTATTAAGAGTCCCCATCGGTTGGTTAGTGGGGAAACAGGAGGGGAGCACAGTGGCACTTGTAATATTGGACTGCACTTTATTCATGGATTGCACGTATTGATCTTTATTGGATCATTGAGCACATGGATAGTAGTCTGGTTTATGCAATATAAGGTAAGAGCAGTGCTGTTGAGTTTTACATACTATAGTATCTAAAGGTGTTATCCTTTTACATACAGCAACAGCTTCAGGAACTTTTGCTTGATGTACACATGCTGATTTGTTGTATATATTTTGTTTGGGATTTTTAACATGGTGTAGGAAAATCCCATCTAATTTTGGTTAAACATCAGGTTTAACTGCTTGCAGACCGCCCCAAAACAGATGTACTGCTACAGGGAGGCTGCGCTGTGCAAAATCACGTAAATATATGATTTCACATTTCCAGGTAGGGGGTGCCCGAGTCTCCCTACCCGCACTGCTATTGGCTCCTGGGGTTGTCAGTCAGCTGTTCCCGGCTGGCGATTCCCGGCCGTGACTCAGTGATCGTTGGCAAAGCTGAGAGGGGAGAGATCTGTGTGTAAACACAAGTCTCTCTTCTGTCAGCATGGACATGCTACTTTCTATCTCTCTGCACAGCGAGAGACGGACAGCAGCAGGTCTCCTTAGTAAAACACCACGCAGTACAGTCTAATCACTCCCTAACACACAGTTAACCCCTTTCCTGCACCGTATCATTTATAGTGTCTGTGCTTTTTGTTAGCACTTACTGGAGAGGTCAGTGGCAGTCTGTTCTCGGCCAGTGTCAGAATGCCTGCTGCAGTTCCGCTGTAAGTCGCTAATCGCTGCCATTACTAGTATAAAAGATAAAAACTCCAGTATTTATACAGCCATTTGTAGATGCTATAACTTTCACGTTAACCATTTATTTATACACTTACTGGTAGTTTTCTTTGTGGGTTTTTTTTTTTTTTTTTGCCATTTTAAAGACATGTAACTGAGTACATTTTGTACAAAATGTTTTTTGGTATGTTTTCAAGCAAAAAGTTAACAAAAAAAAAATAAAAATGTATAATATTTTTTAAATTGCCAGGCTTTTTTTTATTTATAGTGCAAAAAATAAACGGTTATTTGTGGGAATAAAATAACATAAATTTAATTTTATGTATAGCGTTGTATGACTGCAATTGTCAGTTAAAGTAACGCAGAGCCATATCACAAAAAATGGTCTGGTCAGGAAGGGGGTAAATTTTCAGGAGGGCAAGTGATTAAAGTGATACCACAGCTAAAAATTCATTCTTGGCATTAGGGTAAACATTTTCTATTTTTGTTTCTCCCCTTCCCTATGTGAAGGGAAAGAAAGGGGAGAATAGATTCAACACTGTGCATGGCTGCATCTCTTCTACTTTTTTCTTTCTCTTCACACAGAACTATAGGTGCAGCAGGAACCAATGGCTCCTGCTGCTGTCATTCAAAGCAGTGAGGAAAGGGGGGGGAGGGGGGGGGCTAAGTCCTGCTGTGTGTCCGTGTGCCTATCGAGTGCGGCTCCATAGATACAAGCTCGGGAGTGAGCTGACCGTGTGCTCCCAAAGCAAGTGGCATGCTATGGGGACACACGAAGAAGCGGAGGACCCAAGAAGAGGAGGCTTGGGGTTGCTCTGTGTGTAATACCACTGCACAGAGCAGGTGAGTATAACCTGTTTTTAATTTTTTTAAAATTGACTTTAGTAATACTTTAATTTTACATTAAGTATCATTCCCTCAATTAGTCTGCTTTTGTAAGGCTAATGCATTTTTTTTTCTAATATAGAGATTTACACCCTGGCACTAAATCTGTTCAAGTGGTTTTGAGGTAGGTTGCTTAAAAATTGGTACTATGACCCTATTATTGGTTGCAGTGGAAGACATTAACATTTTATATATTAATGCCCCTGTTTTTTTGTGTGTGGTTTTTTTTTTTTTTTTTTTTTTTTTTTTTTTTTTTTTTTTTGGTTTTTTTTTCCTAAAGGATTTGTTATACAGACACCAGCTGCCCACAGGAGGATCAGTACCCGCCTAATATTGCTGTAAAGGTTAATCACAACTATTGTTCTGTACCGGTGAGTTGACAACACTGATGCCTGATATACTCTGTTGACATTGTTGTAGTTCATTTTAATTATGGAAAGCTTTTCTGTTTTTCCAGGGTTACTATCCCTCCAATAAACCTGGTGTTGAACCCAAACGACCATGCAGACCCATAAACCTCACTAATCTTATGTATCTGTCTTCAGCTAGCAACAGAGTGACGGTAACTTGGGGAAATTATGGCAAGGTGAGATTGTAGCTTGTGTAACTTAACAGCATCCCGACTGCCCTATAACAGAAGCGCTGCACAAATTCACGTGTGTGTGTGTGTGTGTATGTATGTGTGTGTATATATAGGTATGTATGTACATACATACGTTCAAAATAGTAGCAGTCAGACATCACTAACCTGATCAATCACTGTTTTTGGTAGAAATCATATTTCTACATGGCAAATAATTTACTAGCAGGTGTAGTAGAGTAATAGAAATCCAACAGACCCAACAGTCATGACATGCATGCTGCTGATTCTGTGTAATTGAATCACTAATTGAAAGGGGCATGTTCAAAATAATAGTAGTGTGGAGTTTTATTAGTGAGGTCATTCATTCTTTGAAAAACAGATGGCAATTATTGCCCTTATTTAACCCCTTCACGCCTAAGGGTAAAACAAATCTAAATGCCTAAGCACAATTCTGCACCGTTGACATGTGATAGCAAAACCGTACATATCATCACAACTACTTTGCACATCCAGGTGGATTATACCTTGATTTTTTCAGGACAAATTGGGCTTTCATTTGGTGGTAAATGGTAATGGATATCTCCTGATTTTTTTTTTTTTATTATCAAAGGAAAACTGGCCAAAAATAGTAAAAAAAATCCTTTTTTTTTTTTATTTAGCTATGTGTTTCTTGTTATGACCATAACCTACCACCAAACAGCAACCCAAAATAAATTCTCCAGCTCTTGACGATCGCAGCGATACCATATATGTGTATGTTATTTGTTGTTTGTACCCGTAGTACAGCCCAGAAACCATAGTGCGCATTTTGTTTTTGTCGTTTTTTTTTTTTTTTTTTTTTAAAACACACTAACACTAAAACACATTAACACTAACTGACACTGATACCAATTTTTTTTAAATCCTGACCCTGACCCCCTTGACCTTGACCCTGACCTAAACACTAACCCTGGCACTGAACTAGATCAAACCTTGATCTAGGTATTTTTTTTTTTTTTTTTTTTTTTATTTTTTTAATATTTATTTATTTATCTTCTTTTTTTTTTTTTACAAACTTTTTTTTTTTCTTCTCTCTGACAGGAGTTCGAGAGATACAATGTATCTCTCTTCTCCATTCATAGAGAGGGAGAGAGAAAAAAAAAACAAGGGGGCCGGGCTGCACAGTGACTGATCACTGTGATAGCCAATCAGAGGCTATCACAGCGATCATGTGACCCGGGACCGGGAGTCCCGGGTCCCGATCGTTAGAGCGGGACCCGGTGCTCTCAGTGACACCGCGGTCTCGGTGCTGGGAGCGCGCTGAGGGGCGCGCTCCCAACACAAAGACAGGTACGCAAATATGCGGCCCCACGGAAAAAAGCCCTGGTCCGTGAGGCCGCATATTTGTGTTACGTCGGCGTCAAGGGGTTAAGGAAGGAGGCAGCAAATGTTGTACATGCTGGTTACAGTGCATTTCTCTCTAAAATTCTGAGGAAAATGAGTTGTTCCAGACATTGTTCAGAAGAACAGCGTACCTTGATTAAAAAGTTGATTAGAGAGGGGAAAACATATAAAGAAATGCAGAAAATGATAGGCTGCTCAGCTAAAATGATCGCAAATGCTTTAAAATGGCAACCAAAACCTGAAAGACGTGGAAGAAGGGAAAGCGAAAAACTACCATTCCAATGGTTAGAAGAATAGCCAAAATGGCAAGGACTCAGCCAACAATCAGCTCCAGGAAGATCAAAGAAGGTCTAAAGTTACCTGTGAGTACTGTTACAATTAGAAGACGCCTATGTGAAGCCAAGCTATCTGCAAGAAGCCCCCGCAAAGTCCCACTGTTGAAAAAAAGGCATGTGCTGAAGAGGTTACAATTTGCCAAAGACCACATTGACTGGCCTAAAGAGAAATGGTGCAACATTTTTGTGGACTGATGAAAGTAAGATTGTTCTTTTTGGGTCTAGTGGCCGAAGACCGTTTGTCAGACGACCCCCAAACACTGAATTCAAGCCACAGTACACTGTGAAGACAGTGAAGCATGATTGCGCAAGCATCATGATATGGGGATGTTTCTCATACTACGGTGTTGGGCCTATTTATTGCATACCAGGGATCATGGATGAGTTTGAATACATCAGAATACTTGAAGAGGTCATGCTGCCTTATGCTGAAGAGGAAATGCCCTTGAAATGGGTGTTTCAACAAAACAACGACCCCAAACACACCAGTAAACGTGCAACATCTTGGTTCCAGACCAACAAGATTGACGTTATGGAGTGGCCAGCCCAATCCCCGGATCTTAATCCAATAGAAAACTTGTAGGGTGACCTCAGAAATGCAGTTTCTGAGGCAAAAACAAGAAATAAAGAACAATCATCCTGGGCTGGAATACCTGTTCACAGGTGCCAGAAGTTGGTTGACTCCATGCAACACAGATGTACAGCAGTTCTCAGAAACAGTGCTTATACAACTAAATATTAATATTTGAATATTATTCAAAGGAAAGCAAAATCTTCAAACATTTTTTCAGTTTATATAGTGAATGTTTGAGTTTTTGTAAAGAAGAATACAAACACTATTTTTTTGAACAGTCTAATCACTTTTCTTCAATTTTTTTAGAGGAACACAAATTTGATATTTTTCTTCATGTTTTGATTTGGAATAGAATGTGTAGTGTTCCCAATGCATTTGTGTGTATGGAAATAAAAGCTATTAGGATTCTGAACTTTATTCACGTTTTTCAACACACTGCTATTATTTTGAACACCGCTGTACCTGTTTTCAGAGTATTCATAGTAATGTCCTCCGAATGTTTGAGAGTATTTGGCGAAGATGAAACATTTCTGAGGGAGGCATCCTTTGGGTATGAAGGTAATAATCAGAAGAGCTAATCCCTCTGTGGTCCAGAAAATGTCCTATCCTATACAGCCCTTATTAATCCACCACTGAAAGTGAAGTGAAGTGTGGCCTAGGGGGAAAAGATGGATTATTGCAGAGAGGGGCCACAGGTGTGTGTTGGGACCTCGATTGGTAAATTTTGCGAGCAGTTGACAAAAAATAAGAGAATGGGACAAAGCTTCTCATGTGTAGTTCAGGAGGTGTGGAACTCCCATGCCTCCAACCGATCTAGCAGCAAAGGGAATTGTGTGGGAAACTCTGCATCCTCTAGGGCCCGTATCAATTTAAAGATTAACATTTGAATTCTTTTTTGAAATAGGGGGAAGGACCGAAACCGGCAAGGAGCACAGTAAAATATTTTGGGGAGTGCAGTCACTTTTATTGTGGCTATTCTACCCATCCACGAAAGAGTATATACCTAGTCAGAAAATAACCTGAAAACATATTCTGCCTAAAGAGAATTATAGTGGGCCTAATTTTGTAGAGTTTAAATGTCTGGGGTGAATTTTGAATACAGAGGTATAGAATGGCATGTGCACACCACTTAAAGGGGGGAACAAAGTCTTAATAGATGCCAGTACCCAAGGGGGAAGTTCCGATTTTACTTTACTCGTAGGACCGAGATTATTCCAAAGTAAGTTAAGACCTTAATAGGTTGGGCAAGGTTATGTAATAATCAGTAACAAGTCGTCTGTTAATAGAGCGCTTTTCTGAATCTTACAAGTGCTTTGTGCACTGTTGGATTTGCTTGCTGTTGCCAGCATCTCTATTGCAGTCACAAATAACAGTGGTGATAAGGGGCAGCCCTTTCCAGTACCTGTTTATAGGCAACCTATATCTGATTATAACCATATGCAATAATCTTGACGGGTGTCTGAATATAAGGTGCCTTAATAAAGTAAGAAACTTTTGGATCAGAATTCTGTTTCTGTAGGCTATGAAGAAGGGACAGGGCAGGGGATCAAAAGCCTTATGTAAATCTTAGGACAGCAGCATTCCCTGTGTATCCCCCAATCTGTCTACCGAGTGTAGGAGCGACATGAAATCGCTCTTAGAATCTGATCTGCCGCTTGCTGTCTGGGTACGCATCCAACCTGGTCTATATGGCTATAGCACTCCTAAAAAAAAGTTGTTCAGCCTAATAGCATATTTTCATCAGTAGCTTCAGGTCACAGTTAGAGATTGGACAATAATTTGCCATGTCTCCCAGATCCCTCTCTGGCTTAGGTGTCCTACAGATGTGGGCTCTATTGGAATCTGTATCAGGAGGCACCCTGTCTGGAAGGGCATTTAAAAATAAATTTCAGTAGATTGGGCACAAGGTGAGGGGTGAATTTTTTTTGTAATAGGCTGACAAGCAATCAAGGTCTGGGGTTTTAGTTGCTTTGGCTTGTTAACTTCTAAAATAACTTCCCCTGTAATTTCATTATCTCGAATTTAGAAATAGATCGCCGAGAGAGATGGAAGTCAGGGGCGTAGGAATGGTTGTGGAACGGCCAGAGCATCGTTCTCCTTAGCTTCCTGCAGTGTTTCTAATTTTATGCGTGTTCAACGCTTTTTCCAGATAAGCATACTGAGTATAGTGTCCATCCTTTTAAAAAGAAACATGGGGAGCCATACCTGAGCATTATGTAAAGCAATATAATAATTGCGGCATCCATATAATTTTTATTAAGTTTACCTACTATTGAAAGCGGTAGTTTGAATCGGCTTAGATTTTTGTGTAAATTTAACCCCTTCACGCCTAAGGGTAAAACAAATCTTGACATCTAAGCACAATTATGCAACTTTGACATGTTAGTAACATCATACATATCATCACAACTACTTTGTACATCCAGGTGAATTATAACTTGTTTTTTTTTTTCAGGACAAATTGGGCTTTCATTTGGTGGTAAATGGTAATGGATGTCTCCTGAATATTTTTCATTCTCAAAGAAAAACTGGCCAAAAATAGTATGGGGAAAATAAATAATTTTTAACGCGGCTAATTTAGCAGTGTATTTCTTGTTACTACCATAACCTACCACAAAAGAATGACCCAAAATAAATTTTCCAGCTCTTGATGATCGCAGCGTTACCATATATGTGTGTTGTTTGTGGTTTGTACCTGTACTACAGCCCAGAAACATTAGTGCACATTTTGTTTTTTTATTTATTTTTTTTTTTCTTACTAAAACACACTGATACCAATTTAAAAAAAAACAAAACAAAAAAAAACTTTGACCTTGACCCAAACACTAACCCTGGCATGGAACTAGATCAAACCGTCATCTAGGGTATTTTTTTTCTTTTTTAATATTTATCTTTTTCAGAGGCTATCACAGTGATCATGTGACCCGGAATCAGGAGTCCTGGGTCCCGATTTGTTAAAACAGGACCTGGGGCTCTCAGTGACACCCTGGTATTTGTGCTGGGAGCGTGCTGTGTGGCGTGCTCCAAGCACAAAGACAGGTACGCAAAAATGCAGCCCCACAGAAAAAAGCCCAGTTCTGTGAGGATGCATATTTGTGTGACGTCGGTGTCAATGGGTTAATAAACAGTGGGTTAATATTTAAGTCTGCATGCCATCCCGATGAATAACTTACCAGATATACAGATGTTTCTACCACATTTATCTGATAAGCAATTGGCGGCAAGGGGTCTCCGAGAGGGTCAACTGGCAGGAGAACAGACTTGTTCTAATTTTATATTGAAACCTGAGTAGGACCCAAAAGTATTAATAAAAGACATCAAACCTTCTATGGATGTAGATGCATCTCCCACAAATAATAATGCATCATCTGCATACAATGCCAATTTCTCCTTTGTCTCACTCCTCTGGAATCGCAGTATCTGAGAATCAGAAACCAGCGGCTCCAGTGACAAAGCAAACCGTAAAGGAGACAGCTGGCATCTCTGCCTTGGACTTCTCCTTAGTCTAAATGGGGCAGATAAAGTGGTGTTAATTTTAAGGCGAGCTGTTGGAGAAATTTAACCTAGAAGAGGAATTTATTACATGGGTTAAGTTGCTATATCAAGCCCCAACACCCGCCATAAATAACTCCTCCCCATACTATCTAATGACTTAACAGCATCTAAAGACAAAATGGCTCTATTACCAACATTATTAGGTTGAATCTGAAGATTAAGATCTAGTCTGTGTTTACTAACTGCTGCTGACCTGTCTGGAATAAATCCCGATTGATCTGAATGCACAAGCTTTGTTATAACTTTGAACAGGCATGTATTCAGCACCTTAGCCAGAATCTTAAGATGCGTTGTCAACCAAGAGATTTGTCTAGATTGGGGGAGCTGCCCTATCTTTTAGCTTCCATTATTGTAGATGACTCTGGAAGAAGTACAGTTAGGTCCATATATATATTTGGACATGGGCACAATTTTAGATTTTTTTTCAGGTATTTACCAAAACATATTCAAGCTGTAGTTATATAATGGATATGAGCTGAAAGTGCGCACTCTCAGATTTAATTTTGAGGGTATGTACATCCAAATTGGGGGAAGGATTAGTACTTTTAAGAGTAGCCATCTCCCCTTTTTCAAGGGACCAAAAGTAATTGGACAATTGAATCAAAAGCTGTTTCGTGGCCAGGTGTGGGCTACTCCTTTATTTTTTCACCAATTAAGTAGGTAAAAGGTCTGGAGTTGATTCTATGTGTGGTATTTGCATATGGAATCTATTGCTGTGAACCTACATCATGCGTTCAAAGGAGCTGTCCATGCAAGTGAAACAGGCCATTGTAAGGCTTCAAAAATGAAACACATCCATGAGAGAGATAGCAGCAACATTAGGAGTGGCTAAATCAACAGTGGTACATTCTGAGGAAAGAACGCACTGGTTAGCTCAGCAACATAAAAAGGTATGGACGTCCATGGAAGACAACAGTGGTGGATGGTCTCAGAATCCTCTCTATGGTAAAGAAAAACCCATTCACAACATCCAGACAAGTGAAGGACACTCTCCAGGAGGTGGGCGTATCATTGACAAAGTCTACAAGCAAAATAAAACTTCCCGAGAGCAAATAGAGGGTTCACCACAAGGTGCAAACCATTCATAAACCTGAAGAAAAGAAAAGCCAGATTAGACTGCCAAAAAACATCTAAAAAAAAAAGGGAGACCAGTTCTGGAAAAACATTCTTTAGACGGATGAAATGAAGATTAATCTATACCATAATGACTGGAAGAAAAAAGTGTGGAGAAAGCTTGATCCAAAGCACTCAACGTCATCTGTAAAACATGGTGGAGGCAGTTTGATGGCATGGGCATGCATGACTTCCAGTGGCACTGGGTCATTGGTGTTTTATTGATGTGACAGAAGCAGCTGGATGAATTCAGCAGTGTTTGCTGCATTTGGTTGAATCTGGGCTAACCGTATATCTGTAAAGTTGACTGGATGGCGTTACACAGTACAGATGGACAATGATCAAAAACACACTGCAAAAGCAACCCAGGAGCTTTTGAAGGAAAAGTGGAATATTCTGCAATGACCGAGTCAATCACCTGATCTCAACCCAACTGAGACTGCATTTCACTTGCTGAAGGCAAAACTAAAGGCAGAAAGACCCACAAACAAAACAACTGAAGACCGCTGCAGTTAGAGCCTGGCAAAGCATCAGGAGGAAACCCAGTCTTTAGTAATGTCCATGGGTTCCAGACTTCAGGCAGTCATTGCCAGTACAGAATTCTCAACAAAATTGGACAAATGAATATAATCAAAATGTTTGTTTGTAAATATTACTTTCGGTCCCTTGAAAAAGGGGGGATGGCTACTCTTAAAAGCTGTAATTTATAAACCCTTCCTCCAATTTGGATGTACATACCCTCAAATTTAAACCAGAGAGTGTGCATTTTTAGCCCATATCCATTATATAACTATAGCTTGAATATGTTTTGGTAACTAACTTAAATCTAATATTGTACCTGTGTCCAAATATATATGGACATAACTGTATATTGCCAAAGACTTTTATAAATTTCGATGGGCATACAATCACTCCCAGGAGCTTTTGCCCTGCGGGGGGTTGCAACTGCTACCTGTAGTTCTTCCAGAAACTGTCTGTTTCCCCCAATTCAAGCAGAGTAACCTTGTTCAAAAAATTATGTAGATCATAATAATAATTTTGGGTTGGAGAATTGTAAAGAAAACAATTGTAATTTGGTTTTCATTTTTTTTTTTTTTTTTTTTATTTTAAGAAGCACATCTTACAGCCCATATTTGCGTATGTTTTTTGTTTCTTTTGGTGATGAAATCTAAAGTAAATAAATGAAAAATGTATCTATCTCTGGCTGGGCTTTGAAAGGGCAAAGGGAACCTGTACTAAGAAAAATAGGTTGCCATTGCTGACCTGAAAAGGTTTGTTGCCTGTCCATGGCTGCAGAAATTTGGGAGATAGACCTGAAAATGTTTACAGATCAGGAAGTTCAGAACTCCCAATCTGCATTCCAGTTCTGAATCATTGACTTAAAAGATTTTTAAGTTATTGTATCATTAAGAGGGCCAGAAAACTAGTCTAGTATTGTCAGAAGGTGAGGAAAGTAATTGCAGCCCCTGTACTTGCTGACTACAGATTCCTTTTTTCTTTTTTTTTCTTGTGCAGAGTTACTCTGTCGGCTTGTATCTGGTAAGGCAAAGAACCTCATCTGAACTCCTCCAGAGACTGAAAACTATTGGAGTGAAGCATCCGGAACTGTGCAAGACTCTGGGTGAGATTATGGTGGGAAGAGGGTATAGCGCATGAGATTATGTAAATTTATGAATTTTTTTTTTTTTTTTTTTTGCTTTCTACTTTCACATAGTGAAAACCTGTAAGTGCCCATCGCTACCATATTTTTTGCTCCATGAGTTCTTGTGTGATGCACTTCAGCCTCAAACCTGTTTTCGTATTAAATCAGTATATAACATCTGAAATTTGTTTTGCGGAAAAAGACAAGCAGCTTGCAGTGCAGTGGTAGCTTTTGGATCTACTTATTTAAAACAGCTGACCTATGGGGCTATGAGCAAAAACCACAGTTGAACGGAAACAAGTCAGATGCAAGAGGTGCACATACACTTTGTCTGTGAAAGTGAATAAAAAGCTTTTGCATCTATTGTGAAATTCTTCAAATGGAGTCAGTTTTGGGGCATGCAAATCTTAAAGCTTTGGGTTATACTGCCACTTACAGGAGGATTGGACAGTGGCAAACTGTAGGTCAGCCTAGGGTCTAACCTTCTACTACCAGCATGCCTCAATTCTGTAGCAAAGAAATATCAAAAGCTTCAAATTAACACAAGGAAAGGATCGGTGTTCATTTGTACACTTCAATTAAAATGAATTTTTGTTCTCTCAATGGTTGAGAAAGTTTTATGGCAAGAACAGGCCAGTGGTCTATGAATCGGAATGGAAAGAGCAGACACTTGACTTTTGATGGTGCAGAGAGCCAAACGTTGGTCCAGATGCAGGAAAGGAAGGATTAGTCCAACCAAAAATTCCTGGGGTGAAAGTCTCTGGACTCACACCTTTTGTGGCAGTGAATTTCCTAGTCTTGAGCATCTTAAGAATCAGAGATGTCCTTGTTCTTTGGGACCTGGGCCATATTAAAGCCAGCAAACAAAGATACGTACAAGGAGAATGGACCTTGGCAGAGGCAGACAATATATACTTTTCCAGTGGGGAAAATAATGGATCCCATAGAGCCATCAGAACAGCCACGCTTCAGCCAGGTATTTTCTGCATCTGGATACACACCTGTCCAGTTTATTGTCCAACCTGGAGTCCAGGAGGTCCACATCCAGTTTCCCCCCACCTGTGACAAAGGTCTTGTGAAACCAGGAGACCACTCTCCAGGGTCCAGGTGCTGCAAGTTGAAGTCTGCCTACTAATTGTCTATGCCTGCAATATACAGGCCTGACATTGCTGGACTGTGCAGTTCTGCCCAAGACAGGATCTGCTGTGCCTCACTTGCTGCAGCAAGATGTCAGTTTCCTCAGTCACCGTGGTGTTGTCCAACTGAATCCAGGATTGGATGGCCCTCCAACAGGATGGTCCTTCAAGATTCTTACCTGGAGAAGAGATCCTCTAACAACCAAGTCCACTTTGCTGACAAGGTGCTCAGAACTGCTCCCTAATTCAGCAGGCTAGATTACTGAGCCTCAAAGCCAGGAATAGTCTGGTCTCTGAACAGGTCAATTTGGTTGACAACAGGGACCAGATTGATTTGTCTCATAATGACAGAATATTGCATTGCAGGAGTCTTCAGTAAAATTGGGCAAAGGGAAGCACCTTGAAGGATGCTACCATCAGTCCAAGACTCTACTGCTGAAGTGTATAGTGGTAACTTCTGAACTGAAGAGCTTGAACCCCAGATTGGAGAGCCTGAAGATTCGCCTTAAGAACACTCTGGCCTGAAATGTGGCCAGGCTCAGATATGGCAGGTAATGATTTCCGAAGGTTTATGATCAACACTAATCTCTTTAGTGTCTGACTGTCGAGAGTGTTGTCCCTTTTTGCAACTGTTCCCTCAACTGGAGGTTGTCTAATATTACACAATATGGATGCCACCAGAATGCAACAGTGCTTACATTGGGGTGAGCTCCTTGAATACCCAAGATGTAAGAAGAGGTCAAAGAGCAGGAATATGAACTGGTGGTGTTGGGGGTCACAGTGCAAAGTGTAGAAAGTGTTGGTATGATGAAAAGATTGGCACATGTAAGTAAGCTGTCCCTTCTAGCCAGCCAGTGAAAATCAATCACAGCTGCATGAATCTTTACTGATATCCACAAGCATCCCTATGTGTACATTTCTGTAAAACTGACGAGACTGCTCTGAATGCAGCAGTGTCTTTCTTTAGTGCTGTGCATCATTCCAGCACAGATGTACAAAGTATTGTGGGAAGAACCATGCTGCTATCAACTTGTCATTGATTTCAGAAGGCTGACCTCAGATATCCTGGGTGGATAAACAGATACGTGCACCTATTTGAATGAGCCCTTAAATTCACTACGTCCTAATCAACTTTTCTTTTTCCTTCTAACTATTGCATATATGTCCCTGATTCTTTTTAGCTTTTCTTTTTGTTATAAATTCACTAAATTGAAAAAAATCTATTTCACTTAACTGCATAATAATTTTGGTCCAGAACTTAGTGTTATTTTAAACAGGACAAATTATAATAAAATGCACTTTTTATCTATAGTTATATTTAATATCTTACCTGGAGGTGAATGGATACAGCCAAAAAGAGCTGTATGGCCATCCCCTTTATAACCTGTCCCATTCCCCTCTAGCCTCAGTACAGTTCTTTTTTGCTATTGTGCTTGGATGATGGTTGTCGCCCTTTCTATTGGGAGAAGCTTACCTTCATTGTGTGTTGTGTTTTTTTTTTTTTTTTTTTTTTTGTTTTTTTTTTTTTTTTTTCTCCTCAATGTTTCTATCAAGATTTCTCACTGTACCACATCCTTCTGAAGCTGTTGACTTCTCAACGGACCATTGGGCGATCAAACCTGGATCCTGCCTGGAGCAGCGTGTAATATTAATTTGGTCACTTACTGTGTGGATGCTCACCTTTAGCACATGGTGCATCATGTTGCTAGCTGCAGTGTGATATAAAGGTCCAGGACTGTGGCCTGCATGCAACAGTCCTGTTTTTGAAGGCCTATTGGAGGTATGCTCAACAAGGAGGGTGAAGAAAGGATGGGGCTGGTCCCTACCATCCTGCCCAGAGTGTAAAGACATCTGGATGAATTACAGGGCCTGTGTCCTTTTCTGACCCGAGGCGCTGTCTGCCCTATATCTTTTGGCTGTAGCAGAGTGCAGGCTAGTACCCTTAAAGCAGAGTGTCGCAGCCATGGAGCAAGAGTGTTGGCTGTTTGAATTTGGCACGGTTTTCCCCAGCCGTCTGTTGCAAGCCTGGCATGCGACTGCTATTGTGCTTGCAAGGCCTCAAACTCACTGGCTACACAGTGCTTTGTGTTTGGCGTTTTTTCTTTCTCTTGGCGCACTTTTCTCTTGCTGCAGTTTACAGGTTGGCACTTGGCTCCCAGCTCCCTCAGTACAGCACTGCTATCTTGGATGGCTTGGGCTGGGGGTCTTTCTACAAACTCCATAATACATCCTTTTTCGGACAGTTGTCTCTAGTCTGATCTCTGCTTTCTGCTTGCCTTTTGGCAGCACATGCTTCCTCTTACACATCTAGAGCAGTTTTCTGCCACAATGTCTGTCTGATTTTTCAGTCTACCCTTCTGAGTTTTTTGTCTTGTGGCTGATGTACTGTCTGAGGAGGTGGACGAGGAAGCTTCTTTAACAAACATGTCATACTTACCTGCTCTGTGCAGTACACACACAGCTGCCCCAATCCAGCTCCCCTGCCTGCATTCTGGCTCCTCTGGATCTGACTCACCAATTGGAGTACCTGGGCCTGACATTAGATATGACCTTGTCCTGGACCTTCCTGCCCTTGTACGAATTTATGTCCCTCTTAGTTGCCTGAGCCCTTCTATCCTAGGGTTGTTCAATTTGTGGCTGTATGAGGACCTTGGGTCTAAAAGCTGCCATTTGAGGTATTGCTTTATGCCCGGTTTCACTCCAGACTTTGAATTGACTACTGAGTCCAGTACTGTATTATAAAGGTGAAAGGACTTTTGCTGTTTCCATATCTTGGTGCAGCCTTTCTCAACCAGGGTGCCCAGACACCCTGGGGTGCCTTGAGGGTTTTTCAGGGGTGCCTTGCAAAGATGTCTAAAAATTACCCAAAACCTGTATACAAGCCAGCGGATGGAACAAGCCTGCCTTTTAGTTACACAAAGCCACAGGTTTTCATTGTGCAGTATTATGATCTTCTAGCTGCCGGTGTCCTAACAAAAATTACATCAACAGTTGATGAGGATGTCAGCTGCCTGCACAGCAACCTAGTTTGACCCTCCCCTGCCCCTTTCCATCAGTGCTGAGGTCACATTAACACAGTGGAGCACAACTGAGGGAGAAGAGAAACCTTGGAATACTACTCAGTACCAGAGTGCAAAAGTGTATTTGCTTTGAAAGAATAAATCACCTCTAATGTTGGGTGTCCCACATATGTGGATGTTGCTGCATTATATAAAACTATTAAAATAGTTTTCACATTTTAGAATGGGGTACCTCAAGACTGTCCATAATTTTAAAGGGTGCCTCTGGACTGTCTATTTAAAGGGTGCCTTGACAGAATAAAGGTTGAGAAACACTGTCTTGGAGTACCGTACAGGACACAGGCCCTTCCCCTCTCCTCTGTGACCCATTATGGCGCCTCATGGAGTGGGTGGGGTTATATGGTTCTGCTATGGGGCAGACCCAGCAAGCACTTATTTACATCAGTCCCTAATCCTCAAGGGGCGTACAATCTAAAGTCCCTAACTTACATTCATACATACACATACTAAGGCCAATTTAGACAGGATCCAATTAATCTACCAGCATGTCTTTGAAGTGTAGGAGGAAACCGAAGTACCCGGAGGAAACTCACACAGGCATAGGGAGAACATGCAAACTACAGACAGGTGGTGCCGTGGTTAGGATTGTTTTGCCACATTCTGATCACCTGAGGATTCTATTCCTGTGCCCTCTACTGTACTCCAATATGTGAAAATTTACAGATAAATCAAAGTAAACTTTTTTTTTTTTTTTTGTTAAATATTTTGTTAATATGGCTCAAATTCCTTTTGTGAGGCAATACCACAAAAAAAGCCTTGTTTGTCCTAAAAAAAATTATGTGAATACTGATACAAAGACAGCAAGCTCTTGGTGGAAGCAAACTAATTAACCGGTTTCTTCCAATTGCCATAGAGAAAAAGTTGGAAAAGCAGGTAAAAAAAATCTTTGCAATCTTAGGGGCCCTGAAAGCTGGAAATAGCACTGATAGAAGCAACAGGCTGGGTAACTAGATTCAGAGTGGTGCTCACTGCATTAATAACAGCCAAATTTGTCTCCTTTAACTTGAGTAATAGCAGTAGACTGGGTAACTTGGGATCCAAAGTTAACTAAAGTGACTGTTGCTGAGCAGTAGACTGTTGCTGAGCAGTAACTAAGTGAAATTCTGTGTGGCTTTTTTGCAAGCCAGAGCAGCAGCTTCTTCAACCCTGCTTGAGGTGGAGTTCAAAGCATACATGACATTGTAACAAATGTATGATGTCAGCACTTCGTTAACACCTTCTGCAGCAAAGCCAGCAGGAAGCGGAGAATAATGGTGCCCAGTAAAATATCAGTGCTGACGGCAATTGGCCTACTTCTTGAAGTGAGACTTCAGAAGCAGAGCAAGCGCTGGGGGCAGTGCCAGCAGCTCTGGACCTGGAAAGCGATTTGCAGCTAACTTAACCAGAACGGGGTAGGAAAAGCACCCACATTGAACCCATTGCCTAAAGCTCATTTCTAGGCTAGTCCCCGGCATTCCATCCAGCAGGGTTTGGATACAGTACTGTCCAAAAGCCAGGCTGAAGATGACCAGGCTGGAAGGCTGTAAACTAGAGGGACGCCTCTAGCAGCGGTTTAGTCTGAATTGAAGAAAAATTTAAAAAATGCTTGCAAAAATCACTGGCTAGGCTTTAAACCACAGGGCCGAAAGAAACTCCGCTGTCCTAGGACACCTGTAAGTAAAAGAGAAAAAAAAAAAAAAACCTGAAGCATGCTGATGGTAGGTGGGGATTATACCTAGGCTTGCTGGTCTGCAGTTTTTGTTGTTTTTAACCCTTTTCAATCCTCCTGTACACATTATAGTAACACCGAGTTTTAAAACTTTGGCCCCCAGACAGTTTTTTGTTAAATGTAAAAAGTATAGTTTTTGGTTTTATTTTTGAGCTCTTCATTTGTAACTAACTGTAACAATCTTTTCAATTCATGCAGTGAGAGAGAAACTGTGTTTGGATCCTGACAGTGAAATTGCCACTACGGGGGTTAGAGTGTCTCTTATTTGCCCGGTAAGGTTTAGAAAAGTAACTTTAAGCAGAAATGGCTGCATTGATGTCATATTTCATATGAATGCTTACTTGTTTTGTGTGTGTGTGTTTTTTTTTTGTTTGTTTTTTCAAAAAGTTTATTGGGTTTTTGCAAAAAGAGGGGAAAAAAAAAATCTTCCCTTTTTGAGTTTGCAATAAAGTTAACTGTAAGTTGCTGATTATTTAAGACTAAACCCCATCTCCTTGGCAAAAATGGGGATCATTTGCTTAATTTGTCACCTTGTTTCAGAGAGAAAATCCAAATGTGGTCTGAGATCTTGGGGCAGCATGAGGGTCAAAGCTACATCAAGTTGTAGATAGCAACAGGAAATTCCACAATATCAAGATAGGCCCAAATATGTAGTTACTCGGTGGCATGGAGGCTAACCAAGGGGGCTATCTGTGCTAGCAGGTAATATTTATGCAGATCAGGTTCTACCAACCCTCTAGAGTTTTTTTCTATAAGACATGGATGACAGACCTTGGTCTCAGGGGTCCCCAGATGAATTGTAAGAGTTAACTTTTTTCCTGCTGCACTGTGAATGTTTTATGGGTGTGTTCAATAAAAACGTAAGAAATTAGAATGGTTTGTGTGTTATCAACTTAAGCACATTGTGTTTTTTCTATTGTTGTGACTTGACCAAAGGGGTTCATATACTTTTCTATACTATAAAGCCTGGTGAGTACACAAAATTTCCACCCCCTGAGTGTTGGGATCATTTCTAATGGACATTGCCAGAGGCTTAAGCGAAGTGACAGATGGCATACGTGAGAGGGGAATTCCCCATCTGGTGCCTCTGGATTTGTAAGGTCTTTGCTGAAAATCACTTTTCTTAATAGTACCGTAAGGCATCAGGGGTGTCACGCAGCCTCTGGTATTTTTGTACAGCATCCAGCATTTTCAGGACGTACGTCTTCCAGCTGTTGGCACTATGGAAATGCATGACATTAACCCAGGGCAGGTGGCATTCAGGAAAGTCCCAGCATTTAGAAAGGGATGGTAGTCAATCTGTTTTATCCTGCTTCACCTGCACACTGTCATGCTGCCACAGCCGTGTGGTTACGTTTTGGAGGGTAGGACTCTTTTGAAAGGGGTAGGGGATCTTGAGATTCTGTTGGGAAAGAGGGTGGACTGAAGACTCTGATGTGAGAGTTTTTTAGGTGGTGGTGGGGAGGGTAGATGAGGACTCTGATATGCATGTTCTCAATGGGTCGCATAAATCGGGAAAATGAGTAACAAGGGATAGAGGATGGTTATTTTAGGTACCATGTTAAGCTGCAGTCTTCAGGAAATTGGAAACAGGATGACAGTCAAGTATGACCCTTCCCATTCCCACTATGCTCAATTTTTTGCAAGGGCTTTCTTTTAGTAATTATTTTCTTGCAAGATTTTTCAGTTGCTGCATAGCAACTGGGAATCATTTTGCAGCTTTCTAGATCAGTTGATCCTTGGCATATGCTTTTAGACTTTCCATACCCTGCTGTGAGGGAGAAGCAGGGCTCATCTGTAATGTGTTTTCACAGCACTTGACTCTGCTGAAGGCACCTTCCTAGACACCCTTGGTGTAATAAGTGAGTTGGCGGCAGAATGCTTTATAGATCCAGGGCTTTGAAGCACCCATCTGATGAAACTCAGTCCCTGAAAATACCTTAGGGAAGTATGTCCACTGGGAGTTTAAAGGCTATTTGAATGGGGCATGTCCTGTGGATCCTGCCTCTTATTTACAGTCCATTTGCTTGAGATTGAAAGGCATCTCGAGACAACAGTTGATAGGTCACCTTTTCCCTTTTGGGAGTCTAGTGTGCTTAAACAGCCCCTCGAGTCCCCTAAAACTCAGGAGCGCTGGCTGTGACACGTTCAATTGCAGGCTGGTGGTGGGAGGAAGGTGCAGGGCCATTTTTAAAACTGGTGCCATGTTTCTGTGCTTGTTGCTGGCGTCTCCCCCTTCTAATGAACCTGACGATAGCTTGGACAACTGTCTCCTGCCTTAGAGGGAGATACCCCTCAAGGGGTTGAGACTATCTTCATATTCTGGTAGGAATTTTCAGCTCCTATGTCTGAGTTGATGGAGTCAAGTCAGCTGACTCCAATGCAGGGGCTGCAAGTGTGCATCCACACCCTCCCCTTCAGAGTCTCCTACTGATCTCCTCTTAGCTGCAGCTGCTTTTGCACTCGCTTGTGCAAGCTGTTTTGTATAGTGATTTGGTCTAATCCTGAAAAATAAAAATGTAAACTTTTTTCTTAAGCCTTGTACATGAGATGAGAATATCGGACAAATGTGTCTTTTTGGTTGTGTTTTGCCCATTTTGTTTTGTCACTGCAACCTCTTGTTGGCATGACGATGGACGATTGATATATACATGTCAGGCATTTTGAGTGGCTATATTGTATGTCTTCTCTTTTCTCTTAATGTAATGTACATTGCCACAATATGCAAATTAAATTTCATATACTGTATTATTTATCAGTGCCTTTTTATTAAAGACATGGAAGAGTACAGCGTAAAGAACAGAAGATCATCCATAAACAATTTTTCTGATCAAAATGGGAGGCATCTTTTGACTTTTTGTAGCCAACCTTGCCCCAGGACATTTCATTTGGGTCCAGAATGTGGTATCCAGGGGCTACAACCAAAGGTTTCTTTTCTACCTCTGCCCTGCTTCATATTGTGAAGCCTGACAATATTGTCTCAAAGTTTAGTAGATGTTCATGCTGCTCTGGCACAGCTTCTCACTTGAGAGATTATAGCCATTTTTCTGGAAAAGAGGGTTTCTACTGGAACCTGTTTAACATTCCCAAAGTGAAAGGGGGCTTTCTGAACACATGTGGTGCACACATTGCTCATGGAATCTTCAAGGTCGCTCATTGCTTGCCTCGGTCTGCAATTTCTGGTCTCTGTGGGCATCCAAGATGCTTACTGATATGTACCCATCTTTTAGGTACTTAAATACTTCCTGTGCTTTACTTTGTTCTATCCACTGCACCTTGCGTTTTCACCAAGATATTAGCACCATTCCTTGCTCTGCTTCTCTTGGGGCCACCTTGTAGTAGGATACTTGGATATCATCCAACTTGAGGATACCGTTGGTGTCCAACAAACTGTTTTGGTGGATCCTGAAACTGCAGAAGTCTGTGCTTGAACCAACTGATCACTTGGAGTATCTAGGCCTTTTCCTGGTTCTTGCTTTTGTTCAGGGTTTTCTCCCACAGAACAAACTCGGTTTCCATGTTCAAATGCTACAGTCCAGGAACTGGCCAATACTCCGCTTTTGCATGAGGGTTCTGGGCCTAATGGTATCTTCTTTCAAAGCTCTTTCATATGCCCAATTCCACTCCAAACCATTACAACTCTGCATTCTGGCTGTGTGGGACCAAGGCCCAGTTCTAAAAACCATCTCATGCACCCAAAACCAGGGTGACTCAAGTCCTGGCCTGGAGTCAGGGGAATTCCTTCCTCCCAGTAGTTTGGAAATTTCTTGCACTAGATACCAGCCTGTCGAGCAGGGTAGTCCTGAACACCCTCTTGTTGCATGGGAGTTGGTCAATGAAAGAAGCTGAACAACCTTCTGGAACATCATCCCTTTTTAATCCTAGACCTCTCAACTACAAGGTCATTTGACCAGGATTCAGTCTGATAATGCGGTGGCTTACAGTAACCACCAGGCAGAAACCAGAAATCTGCAGCTCAAAAAGAAGCCGACCAGATTCTGGTATGGGTAGAACTTTGTTGAAGCGCTATCTTCTGTGCATATCCCAGGTTTTCAAAACTGGCAGCAGACTCATCACTGCCTGAACTCTTGACCCCAGTGTGTTTTTAAAAACCTGTCTCGGTTCAGGGATGCTTGACATGGATTTCCTGGCTTTCACACTCAACAACAATCTGAGCAAGGTTGTCTCAAGTCAAGAGATCCTCCAGCCTTCTCAGTGGATACTCTAGTGACTCTGGATCAGTTCTTCTTTCTCAAATATTCCTTTCTTGCTTGCTCCACAGGATCAAGATGGAAGGGATTCACCGGCAAGGATATTGTTATTAAGATTACACCTAAATCAACCATTTATCAGATAATTGGGAACTTTAAGAAGAGAGGTTCAATTTTTGTGAATAAGGCTTCAGGGTGCCCAAGAATGTCCAGCAAGCACCAGGACTGTCTCCTACAGTTGAGGGATTGATTCAGCTGAGGGATCGAGGCACCACCAGTGCAGAACTTGGCAACCAGCTCAGGAATGGCAGCAGGAAGGTGTGCGTGCATCTGCACGCACAGTGAGGCGCAGACTTTAGGAGGGTGGCCTGGTGTCAAGAAGGGCAGCAAAGAAGCTGCTTCTCTCCAGGAAAAACATCAGGGACAGACTTTTATATTCTGCAAAAGATACAGGGATTGGGCTTCTAAGGACTAAGGTGAAGTAATTTGCTGTGATGAAGCCTCTTTCTGATTGTTTAGGGCTTCTAGAAAAAAACCTTGTCCAGAGAAGAAAGGTGAGCGCTACAATCAGTCCTGTGTCATGCCAACAATAAAGCACCCTGAGACCATTCATGTGTGGGGTTGCCAAGGGAGTTGGCTCACTCACAATTTTGCCTATGAACACAGCCATGAATGAATAATGGTACCAATACATCCTCCGAAAGCAACTTCTCCCAACCATTCAAGAACCGTTTGGTGATGAACAATACCCACAAAGTTTTGGGTCCATGGCTAGGAAACTCCCCAAATCTTCTTCCTTCTTTTTAATTTTATTATAGTTTTTTCAGAAATACAATTTCCATTTGCAATCGCTAAAAAAAACCCCACCTTTTATTATAATACTCTTATTTGTCTAACAATACATCATATCATTGACAATGCTCCTAGTATCTTTTTTTTTTTTTTTTTTCTCCTCTTGCCCTCCCCCGCAGTTCTAATTAATTTCTTTCTGCTCATTCTAAAAGCATATTACTTTAGTATTTTTATCCTCCATGACTTTCTTTTTTTTTTTTTTTTTCCTT